ATTCTGCTGGGGCGACCCCCATCCGCTGCCGCCTGACAGGGAAGGCGATCGGCTCCCGCTGGACCGCTGGCTGCCCGTCTTCCGACCTTCGCCTCGGGGCTTGGGGCTCAGCCTGGGGCAGGGGAGGTGAGGAGAGCCGGCGTGGGACGCCCCTCTACAAGAGGCCGCTTCCCGCAGGAAGGGCAGCTCCCTACCCGCCTTTGCACTGGGCCGGGAACGTTTCTATTTAGAGAGCCAAGCCCCACGCACACTGCCTTGATTTCCATTCAAGGTCTGGGATGCCTAGCCCAGTTCCAAGTTGGCACTGGCACTGCCCTGGTAAACTACCCACTGATTAATTGCTGCTTGTCTACCAGCCGGGCTCCCCAGCCTCGAGTATATTTAATACGCAGAAAGCCGAGCTCAACCCCAGCAGAAAGCCGGGCTCAGCCACAACCTGAGCGCTCCCAGGGGCCCGGGACCTACCTGCTGGGCGATCTGGAATCACTGTCCTGGGAGGAGAGTGAGGGGCTGTGGGAACTTCCGCTGCTGTGGCGATGGGACCTCCGGCCTGGGGACTCATGTGGCCTGGGAGAGAAACCAGCCTGTACCTAAGTTCTGTTTCCTGATGGAAGCCACAGCTGACCAATTTCCCCTCCCCAAGTCTCCTACAAAAATAATGCAAAGGCTGTCCACACTGCTGCAAAGCCCAGCCAGGCCCTGTGGACCATTGGTGGGAATTAGGAGAAGGTGCCTTTTTCTCCAGATAACCCCAGCCCCCCAAGACCTCACTCGTCCCTCAGCTGTTGTCTTGTGACCCTGGAGAGGTGCAGGGGAGTTACAAGGACTGAGCTTGAAAAGACCCTGGACCCGGAGGCAAGAGGCCTGGGTTTCAGTTCCAGCTCTGCCACTGACTCGACTCTCGAGGGCTCTTGGCTTACTCTCTGGGTCTGAATGTTTCCACCTGGGCAGGGGGTACAAAATGAACTACCTTCAAGAGCCTGATTCTGTGATTCCAGGGGGCCGGGTTTGCTGTGTGGGAAGAAGGGCTGAGGAGCTGGAGAATGGGGAAGAGTGCTCACCTCTTCCTCTCTTTGTTCTTCTCTTTTCTTTTGCTCTTGGGGCTTCGAGATCTACAGAAAGCAGAGGCTAGGTGACAGCACAGCCTGAGCCAGGCAGGGGAGAGTGAGCCTCCAGGGAGCCCAGCTGTCCTATGTGTGAACCTGAGATTTGTTCCCCCCTCTGACCTGAGCCTTCCTGACAGATATGGAATTGCCCATCCCACTCCATGCTCTGGTTCCTTCGATTCTGCCAAGTCTGTCCCTTCCTTCTCCAGTAGATCCTGGCCCATGATCACCTTCTGCCCGGGCCCTAACTGCTGCTCCCTCTGGGAGTGCTAAATGGTGATGTGGCCACATACCCAGAAGGAAGGTTGACCTGCCTTTACTGGTATCTTCTGCATCAGTCTTGGGACAGGCCCCTCTGATGAGTTATCAGGGTGGGGAGTGGCCCTCCACACTTCATTTGTGTTCCCTATGCCCTAGGTCTCCTCGGATGGGGCCGCCCAGGCAGAGCCCAAGCCTCCTGCTTCTCTGTTCTCTAGACTGTGGCCCAGCCCAGGGTCAGTCACCAGGGGCTTAGAAAATAAATGCTTTCCCTTGGGTGTGATTTTCCTGCCCTTGGGCATGATCTCCCTGCTTTTGGATTACTCCTCTGGACCCCTACCCCATCCCGTCCAGCTCTCTGGGGTGGGCCCCACAGCCCAATTCCTGCCTTTGATTGAGAGCCTTCTGATTAGCCCTCTAAGGTCTCACCTCATGTCGGGTCCCATAGGTCTCTCAGCCCCACCTCCCTGATGCCACCAAATTCTGACTCAATCCTCCAGTCCTGAACAGATGCTTTCTTCTGACCAAAAATGAGGTGATGCTAAGAAACACTGGGAGGTATTTCTCACAGGATCAAAAGGAATGGGAGGCAGATCTGGGAAGGAGCAGGGACGAAGTGAGGGGGCAAAAGTTTGGGTGAAGAACCCATGTTGCATGCTTGGGGCCTCAGTCTCCCCATCTGGAGCTATCTAGCCTAGCTCATCTCTAGGTCCTTCCCAGGACTGATAGGTGCTGGCCAGAGGATCTGTACAAGCTGATGGGACATACTGAGGGCAGCAGGGGCCAACACTAGCCTAGAAGGACTGGGGGAAGGGAAAGAGGAAACTGGGGAGATTGGAGGGCCAGGATTAGGTATCCAATTAGGCTCCTTCCCCCCTGGCAAATGGCCACGGGCAAATACACACTGCAAAATGGGGCTGGGGACTCTGCTCCTCCTCAGGGCTGCTGGGAGGGGCTCTGGCTCTCATGCCAACCACAGGGATGTGACTGCCCCACATCTTTCCCTCCATGCTGAGTGTTCTACTTTCTCCACCCCTGCTTCTGCCTGAGCTCCTATCTTTCACTTCCTCCTGTCCTCTCTCCCAATCCATCCTGAGTAAGTCACTGTCCTGCTTCAAAGGTTCATGTTGGCTCTCAGCCCTGCCTTGGTGGAGGCCATCTCCATAGCAGTCAGGCCTGTTGGGGGTTGGCACCTGCCCCTCAAGATTCTCCACCTCTAGCCACAGCCCACCCACTCTGTCTCTGCCAACTGAGGCATCCTTCTATCTGGCATGCCCTTTTCCTGCAAATTCTGCCTTCTAACTGACACCTCTACGGACACACCTCTTAGATACTGGGCCTGCTGTATTGTCTGGAAATTCTTGGGGTCCCTACATCAAGGCTGACTCATGGGGCAGGCAAGGATTGCAAATCACTGGTCTTCATTGTCCTCCCCCCACCCTCAGTCCCCTGCCTGGGGCTAAGAAGGAGTCCCTGGAGGGGGAGGGCAGAGCAGGGCAGGACCCTCAAAACCCCCCCTCCCATCATGGCTTCCTTTGGGCCTTGGTCTCTGCAGGGGGGCACCAGCCTCTAACCATATCCTACTATCACACCGCCATAGGGCACCGCTCACCTGTGCCGTCTCTTCCTCCTGGACCCAGAATCAGACCTGTAGGGCCATACAAGGGTTCTCTTGAGTCCATCTGGGGTGACTCAGGGACACCCAAGCAGCACAGCCCTGGTCCTGGGCCCCATGGAAGTGAGAGGAAGCCCCAGGAGAGGGAGGGTACCTGTCTTTGCGGTGCTTCTTCACACTCTTCTTCTTCTTTCGCAGGGGTGAGGAGCTCCCACAGCTGCGGACAAAGGGGTGGGAGGTGGGCTCTAGTGAACTGGGGCCTGGGAGGTGGAGGGGCAGCTGGAATGGCTAGGGAAGGCTGGGTGCCTAGGGCTCAAAGCTGGAAAGGGGATTCCAGGCCATGAAGCCAACTGCCTGCTGTACAGAGTGAACCGAGGCCCAGAGGGTTGGCAAGGTCCCTAAAGGTAGTTGATGGAACTGCCTGTGTTGTCCCTGGTCACCCTTCTAGCCTCCTTGGCATTGTGAGAGGGGGCTATTTCAAACCAAAGGCTGGAGGCTGAATGGTGGGAGTTCTGGCCTTGGTGGGGAAAAGCTGCTGGTGTCCAAGGTCCAGGCGCTGAGGTCCAAGGCCTCCTGCCACTGGAGATGGCCCTGAATCTCACCCACCCACAGACAACCCCCCCACCCCAACCCTTCCTGGTCCTTGCCCGCCTTCATCACTGACCTGCACTCCGAGTCTAGTCTCCTCTTTTTGCTGAGGGTCAGGGGAGAAAGAAGGACAGACAGTTGGACGGGGTTAGTTGGGTCCCCAGACGATTGCCAGGGTCTCACTCAGGACAGGGGAGGGGGAACCACAGATGAGACCCTGGCAAACCCCTCCAACCCAGGCCCCTCACACAGGGGTGGGGAGGGCAGGGCTACTGGGGAAGGGCAGAGGGGTACCCATCAGGTGGACGGGGTCAGTGTGTCTAGTTCTGGGGCAGAGGGTCTGAGAAAGAGGCCAGCGAATCCGGTTCTGAGGTCTGGGGCGGGTGAGTGCCAAGGTGGGGACTCAGAGGGGACGTGGTGAAGGGGAGGGGCTAGTGGAGTGCAGGCCTGGTAAAAGGAAGGGGGTTGAGTGAAGGCGGGGTCAGTAGGGGGAGAGCACTTCGTTAGGGGCCGAGGCTCAGCGAGGGCGGGCTCACAAATGCGGCGGTGG